CTTGGCTTAGCTTTTGGAAGACATATTTGTATCTTTGGATTTTTTTCTCCTTTGTTAAATTAATAAACCTAGATATTAAAATTTTTGTAATTGCTTGATTTTGGTGTCTCCCATTCTTACTTCGCATCCCAGATTTTGTTTTTCTGTCTCAGAAAAACCATGGAAATATTTAATGTATTTTGAGGACTTAAAATGCTACGCACTATTACATTCATTTAATTTAGGCGACCACGGGATGAAATGCCATTTTACAATGCGTACTTATATTTTTTTTCCGTGATACTAAGTTCTATTTCATAAACAAAACACTTGGAACCGTGCTTATTCCAAAATTTAAAGAGGCAACAATACAAACACAACTGTAGCTATTTTAGACTTTCATTCTTTTTTCATTGAAAATCGACTAACTCGGAGGTTAACATTTAATTTTTCTAAGTTCCTTTAAAACTTGTTTAAAGATTTGAAGCTGCAATAAAATGACTGACGAGGCAGATTTTTTCCCGCAGTAGGTTGCCATTTCTTTCTGCGGTAGACGAGTCTGCCCTCCTATTTACCCATAGTTGTTGGGAGAAGAAGAGGATTCATATCTTTCCCAATGTATTAGCACGGAAGTGATCTCGGCTCTCCGATTCCTCAATCCGAGCCGCTATCCATTACTCCAACGTGCATGGGTTTAAAAATGTATTTCAAATAGATAGGACTTATATTTTATATTTAAAATAAACGAGGATTAATGATTTGATTTGATTTTTAAAATAATCAGGATGAGTTCTTCTTTAAATGTATATTTATTAATATATACTTAATAGCTTTATTATATTACATAAATATTAACACAAGCGCTCAATGCGCGATATCTTGTCGGTAAATGTAGTTAATACTGTTTATTATAAACAGATCATTTACTTAAATATTTTTATTTATAAAAGTAACGTATAAACAGAAAATATGTTGAAATAATTGTCAGACTTATTCTATTTCATAATATATGTAGTCAGTTTTACGTTACGATACGATTTCTGTCGGAGGACACGTATTTTCTATGAAATTTCTCGGAATTTCAGGTCGGCAAATGTAGTTAATACTGTTTATTATAAACGGAGCATTTACTGAAATATTTGTATGTACAAAAATAAAGTATTAACAGAATATATTAGGTTGGTGCAAAAATAATGACGTAATAATGTCGTTTTTGACGTTAAAAAATACGTCAAAAAACGACATTATTACGTCATTATTTTGCACCAACCTAATATATATATATATATATATATATATATATATATATATATATATATATATATATATATGATCATTTTATCCTAAGCAAGGCGATAATACCACTAAAAGGCAAGAGGTTATTGGAAAATGATCGAGAACAATAAAGAACGGGTTTGAAGGATACGGAAAATGACGACTGACATTGCATTTAAATTTGTGAGCCACGCAGCGGAGTACTGAGTGTGAAAGAATCTAAGAAAAACATTATTAAGGAGCGAGAACAATAAATGAAAGTCAGTTAAGATGAGAGAAAATAACGATTGACATTAAATTAAAATTTTTGAAGATCAAACTTGACTGGAAAGCAAGAAGCCTGAGGAGAGTTACACCAGCGAAAAGTACTAAAGAATATACTATGAGCTGAGAACTTACGAGTACTACTCGCATTTTCAAGCAAGAGACCTATCTGCCAATCTTGTACAAGTCAATGTACAAAATAGGAATGCAAATTAAAGCAATAACCATGAAAATATTTAACGAAACTTCGCAGGGAATATACTTCATGGCAGTTGAACAGGGAATGAAGCCGAGATGCCAGGTCGGTATAGATAACGTTGCAAGTTTCTTTTTTACTTCCATTTCCCCTAAATCTTCCTCATTGCTCGCATATTCAGTCTATTGTATTCTCAGCATCCTTCAGTAGAATCACTGTTGCCCCAAGTCTTTTCTTCCGATGTGTAGAGATTGTCCATCATTCACTGCTATGGAAAAAAAAGGATCTTACGCAGCATTTCAACACTCTTTTTTTTCTTTCTTTCTAACGAAAATTTTCTTTTTCTTGATATATAATTTAGCTTTTGGAAAGAATCTTTCGATATTCAAATATAAATTTACACATTTAGATATATGAAGTAAATAAATAAATATATTTACACAATTAGATATATAAATGCAATAGTGGGAATAATTCTGTTTATTTTTAGCACAAAAGGACACTGTCCTAGATTACAAGATTTATTTGGCTAAGGTAGCATTGATTTAACACTTCCGCTGCTAGCTACAGAGATCTTCGTTTTTTTTTTATCTTGCTCCAGCTGGCTAAGTACGGAAATCTACGTTTTTTTGCATACCGCTGGTATGAGTGTCCCGTTGCGCCATCTATCGTCATATCACAAAGGACAATGCTTCAAAAGATATCATACCCATTACTAATCTGGTAAGTCATTCCCAGGTATATCCATGAAAATGGAAGGCTGTAAAACACACTGGTGCCAGTTTTCTGTGTAATAAAATATGTAGGTTGAAATTTGGCATTTTCTTTCAAAATGGCTGGCCGGATGGGGGCAGCACTGGGCAAATGAGTAGCAGTGAAAGGGTTAATGGCATAAGGCAACATTTTAGAATATAACAAATTCAGAAACAGACATTATTCACAATGGTCACTACTTGACATCTTTGATTCACCAGTCACTGAATATTGTTTTGTGGTATGGTACCCTAAAACTCCACCATGACAACCTGCAGTTTTCGGGAGTTAAGGAATGGGAAACCTGCTGCGCATAAATAATATATAGGAGGATTGACAAACATTTTGTTTTATAGAAGTTTCTAGAATCAGAGAACTTTGGAGATTCGGGTCTACAGATTTGGTCTTCTAGCGAATTCAATTGAGCTGGAAGAAGTTTAGCGCTGAAAACCAGCAACTTACTTTAAACTTCTTTCATTAGAAATTACTGAAGTCTGTCCCAGGAGTTGGTTTGGTGATCGAAGTTAAGCCTTGTGGGATTTCTTCTGTGTGTAAAGCCTCAGATCTATTGATTGATAGTGCTTCAGTAGATCACTTAATGTACTTAGTAACGGCTTCTACTCTCAACATGCCGAGAGGGCCTAATACCATCTGTGTCGTTATTCCACACTTACAATTTGAAAAATGCAAATGACCGCCTTTCAACAATTCAGAGACAATTCAATCGATCATGTACTATGTATATGATAAAAGATTCATTATATATATATATATATATATAATTATTTATTTAAAACTATGATTCCAAATCGCGACATAAGAAGTCCCATGTTTCAAAACAAGAGCCGAAAACTTCAATATAATTAAAAAAAAAAAAAAATTTCGCTTGAAGATGGAACAGAGCTTATTTTTTTTTTTTTTTAACTCAATTTAATTTAAATAATTATATTGAAGTTTTCGGCTGTTGTTTTGAAACATGGGACTTTCTTATGTCGCGATTTGGAATCATATTTTTAAATAAATAATTATATTTATGCTCTACTTTTGTATCGAGCACTATTTTAAAAAATAATAACTAAAATACTAAGGAACTTTGGATTATTTACCTAACCAGTTCTTTCCTATTTTCTATATATATTTTATTTTATATATATATATATATATATATATATATATATATATATATATATATATATATATATGTCATTCTGTTCGAAAATTAAAACATAAATATGTTATAAAATCACTACAAAATAGCCATTTTGTTTCAAGACTTCTGGTGTATTATCATGTGATGATACAGAATGTAGAATTAAGGGTTTAAGAGTTCAAATCAATCAAACACCCCCCTCGCTAAAGGGAAACGCTTTTACATTAGCTGCAATGACTAATCAAAATACAAGTATATGAGAATAAATTTTCGAATAAATTATATTTGCTCTCCTCTGTATTGAGCACTCTCTTAAGAATAGTATTTTTGGTTATTGGAATTTATTACGTATACACCAATCTTATAATTGGTTATATATATATATATATATATATATATATATAGTTTATGCAAAACTAGGTAATCCCTATGGGTAGATCCAAGGAAGATGATATCCGGAGAGCTCAATGTAAATTCAAAGAAAATATGTTTGAATAAAAACAGACCACTTTAAGGTTCCATGTAATAAATTACTTCACCACAGCCATTTTAAACCAGAGCCCTTTAAAAAGGCTGTGGTGAAATAATTTATTACATGGAACCTTAAAGTGGTCTGTTTTTATTCAATATATATATATATATATATTGTCATCCATAGACAGACTGTTTCGCTGTATCACAGCTCATTAGTGTGCCTAGACGTCCGGTTGCCTCTAGCTAGGATCGAAACCCGACTGAATTGGATTCTACCACTAAGCCGTTGGCGCACGGCAGGGACGAATGTGAATTTAAGCGTATTTATTTTTAGATAAACACACAGTGACTGAGAGAATTCGATTCGATTTACCAAAGAGTCTTGCATTATTAGCCGTAATAGTCACTGTTTACAAACCCACACTTATATATATAAATCGGAGAGCCGAGTTCAAATTCCAGTTGAGTTCGTTGCATTCATTTACGTTCTAATACCCTTGGGAAAGATATGAACCCATCCCGTTTGCTGCAGCTATGGGTAAATAGCGGGGCAGACTGGGTCTTAAATCCTTGTGTTGCAACCGGCTTAGAAGAAGAAATAACATTGAAAAAAAAAACCAACCTGGAGAGGGTTGGTCTCCGTTATGCAGGAAATGCCACGGCTTCTGCGGAGGCAGTATATGTGCTGCCCTTACAGCCCTAATGGGGTGATGGGTTTCATGATCGTGATATTTATGGGTAAAAGTAGTCAATACAAGGAATAGACGGTATGTAAATATAAAAGATGTCATCAACGTCTGTTACATCCGACAGTCTGTTTCATGCTTCAAGCCTTAATATTGCGTTCATGCATGAAAAAGACTGTCGCTGCAGGGCGTTGATCTTAGTATCCGCTTAGTATCCTAATCTATGTATAATTCTCTCCATATCTATATATCTATCATTCTGTGCTTATCTATCTATCTATCTATCTATCTATCTATCTATCTATCTCCGCCTGTTCATATCTATCTATCTATCTATCTATCTCCGCCTGTTCATATCTATCTATCTATCTATCTATCTCCGCCTGTTCATATCTATCTATCTATCTATCTCCGCCTGTTCATATCTATCTATCTATCTATCTATCTATCTATCTATCTATCTATCTATCTATCATTCTGTCTGTATTCATCTATAATTCTGTCCATATCTTGGTGGTATTTAAACTATTGTTCTGAAAAAGTTTCATATTCCTTTTCTTGGGTAGTGGATTCTGAGAAATGGAAAAAAAAATTCAAAATTGATGGCTATACGAATAAGTTCGTCGTTGACTCTATCTATCTATCTATCTATCTATCTATCTATCTATCTATCTAACTGTTGTTGTTGTACAGTACATCACATACCAGCTGAAATTGATTTTTAGTTTTTGTGCTGCTATAGGCTTTAACGAGAGCAAAATTTATTATAAGATATTTAAGTTTTTTTTAAAATTTTAATTTCGAGATTTATTTGTTTTATTTTCTTGCTTACATTGAAAAAACAGATTTCATTGCCTGGTGCTTAGAAACAAATTGTAGGGTCCTTTTCACCTTGCGTCTGATCACTTTACTACTCAATAGATTTTAATATATCATGGTCGTTTTTTATGAAATGTAATGGGATACATATATGTACACACATACTATATATATATATATATATATATATATATATATATATATATATATATATATATTATATACAGGGTGGTTACAAAAGTAGCTATACAGTAAGTATTACTAGTATTTTTTAAGAAGTTCTAGTATTCATTTAATTTATTAAAATTATTATTATATTTTTTAAATAATTGATAATAATAAATATATTGCACGTAAAGAGGAGTGTGAATAATAGGAAAAACATTTGAAGGATCGATATGTTTATTATTGATGTGTTTGCACACCTACACACATTATATATATATATATATATATATATATATATATATATATATATATATATATATATATATATATATATATATATATATATATACACTTGGTGTAACAGGAAAATTATCCAGATCGTGCAACAGTATGCGATAATTGTCCATCCCACAAAATGTTTAATATCTCAAAACTATAAAACTAGTTTCTTTTTACCAGGTTTTCCCAGCCGTTTAGTCATCTTGATACCATTTGTCGTAAGGATCAATAGAAAGTCCTTTGAATTATTCGGTTAGAAAGAGAACAAGGGAAAATCGTTTTGTGTCAGCCCCACTATGTCTTTCCAACTGAGCAATGGTGAGAGGAAAAAAGATCATTTAGGCCTTCAGTAAAGCTGCTGTGTCAGCACCTCATACTTTGGATTCCACCTTCAAATTCTATACAAGAACCATCAAGAGGACGGTGAATATGTTTAAAAAAAAGGGGAACAGTAGAGAGGATAACTGGATCAGGAGGTCACAACAGCAAGAGGGGTCATCATTTTAACTTACAGCTAAATATATTCTTATGTTTCAAAGTAGAGTTCAATAATCTTTATAAAAACCTCGGAGAATTCCAGTAAGATATCTTTAATCACTTCTAAGATACAACGGTTCAAAGCTTAATCTAACAATTGGACAATTTTGCTGTTACGCCCGGTATATATATATATATATATATATATATATATATATATATACACAACCAAAAACGTTTGCGGTATCTCTCTTCTTTTTAATATACACACTTTTCTCTCGTTGGAACTACTATAAGAGGCAACATGACGTCTAGCCACACTGATGAGCTGTGAAACAGTCTGTCTGTGGATGACTATATATATATATATATATATATATATATATATATATATATATATACATATTTATATATATTTTTTATTAAAATTTACCAATTCCAGAAGTTCTTGTATTGAAATTACGAATAACCCAACTGAAGCTCATTTTTTTTTCTTGATTTATTCAAGTAAGTTTGATTATCTCAATCCTTATCAAGAACAGAGTGTTGTCATTATGTTAAATAATATTATCCGACTAAATCTTGGCAATTTTAGATTACTGGAAATTAGAATTGTAATCCGTTCAAAGCGACGTCATATGTAACGCTATACGGGGAAAAACAGATAGCGAATATTCTTTAATCAATTCACATAATTTAAGTAAAGAATACAACTAAGGCACGACGAGGCTACTGAGTGTGAAATAATTTAAGAGATAGAAAAATATTATTAAGGAGAGTGGCAATAAAGGAACAATAACTAAAATGATAACAATTGATATTTCATTTAGATTTTAGAGGCTCAACGTTGACTGCGAAGCGTGTAATTCGAGAGAAGAAATTGTTAGCAGAGAACTTACGGTTACATCTAGCTGTTACAATTATACAATAAAAATACATGTTATTTTTTCCCAGTCCCAATACAATTGCTTTCACAAATAATGTCCCGTAGGCAGTTATTTTCTTTTTTAAATCAATACTCCTCAAGCAAGGTGATAACTCTATAAAGATGCAAGGCAGCTAATGGAAGTAAAAGAGAAGTAAAAAAAAACTCTACAAGAAACCGGAAAGTCAATCCCAAACGAAGAAACAAAGAATAAACCTCTATTCCTGTTCAAAAGATCGAGAAGGAGTGTGAACCGGACGATAGGCGAACCTATTTACTCCTGTTATACAATTACTAACTTTTCTAGAATATCTGTTTTGTGTAAAATTTGAGTTTTTTTTATTTGGTATCATATTTTCAACAAAAAGATGACAGGAAATTGTGGAGAGTCATGATCGCTAACATTCTTAAAGGACACGGTACATAGAAGAAGAGATCATATTCTTGTCTTTGTATAGTTTTCAAATAAGCGACGGTTTTGATTTACTCTTTGATTTTAACTGCGATAATTATCGCACAGCCTTTATCGATCATAAGGTTTGTCGTTGTGGCTTTAATATAGAATAAAAGCCAAATTAGACCACAGAAGAATTATTGCTGTTATATGTAAGGTGGCTCTATCCAATCCTTGCTTTACAGCTTTGACAGAGTTCAGAATCGTTTACATGAGCTTTTGGAGTACGAATTATTCTTCATCTTATAGCTGTTTTTCAATAGACGTTGGTCTATCGCTTCTTCCATAGCAAATGTCCGTTAGTACCATCTGTTATGATCTTTACAGCCGAAACTTGCTTTGTTAAATTCACAGGTTTGAATCACACTTATTTCCTATGTATTTCTGTGTTAAGTGATGTCTTGCTCCGAAAATTTCATTGAACACGACAATGTAGGCCTCTTCAAGTCTAGAGTCAATTGTTATCTATAGTTGATATCCTCATAAATTTCGCTTCCTACTTCCACGCGTTCATATCTCACACTTACGGCCAAGTCATGTTCAAACACCGGTTAGCGAAGGATAACCAGATTTAAACAACGTCTCTAGCCTGGTCGCTACCTAGATGGGAGATCACTTGACAATATCAGGTGCTGTAAGCTTGTATGTGCAGAAGGTGTAAGGGATAATAACCTCGGAATCGTAAATCGGAGAGCAGAGTTTCAATTCTATCTTGGTTCTTTATATTCAAATATATGCACATACCATTGGGAAAGGTATGCATCCACCTCCTCTCCTCCCAGCTATGGGTTAATTAGCAAAACTTGTATCACTAAGTCGTTATTATCTCCAAAAAATATTATAATCTAAAAATATTTTCTGGTTTTAAATAACCTGTAAAAGGTCGATAAGCCGTAGAAAACGAATCAATCAATCTCACATGTCATTCAGTAACCCTCTACCTTGAGTGGCTCTTGGGCATTGTATTGGGTGAATATTAGTAGAAAAAATATTTTGTTTGGTGGTGATGAAAATACTGTTGTTCAGAAAAACAAAATGGAGTTTCTGTAATTGTAAAATCCGTTGCCTGCATTTCCGAAGATTTGTTTCGAAGAAAGAGTTTCATGAAAAAAAAAAAATATGGAGGAATTCAAAAGATAATAATAATCTATCAACAATAAAATAAAGCATAAAAAATAAAAAAAAATAATCTACACATTTTGATGACTGATAAGACTATCATACCTTTTAGGAAAATATATTTGTTATCGCTCGAAGCAAACCACAGAAAATATTAAAAACCTCTTTCCAAATTAGGTTTGCTCTTCAAAATAAACGCTATTTTGATAAAAAAATAGACACCTAATTCAGACCATGTATAACCATGGTATCTCTCGCCCCTGGGTATTAACTGAGTGTCCTTTCCAATATATATATATATATATATATATATATATATATATTGATTTGCTTATAAATTCTGTAAAAAATTATTTCCTTCGGCTAAAGCTTTCTCTCAAAAACATTTATACCATATTTTAAATACTACAATAGATTTAGATAAAAAAAAACAACTTATATTCCTATGAGTAAGTATTCTATTATATGTTACTTGGTTCCGGATTGATAAATCGTAATTTTTTTTGGTGGGGGAGGGTGCCACAGAAATAGACAGTGTTTCTTAAAAACATTTGATTCGGTGTGTTGTTTGGTTCCATTATTTCTTCTGTGATTACGTTTGAAATTAACTTCAGTCCTCGCTAGATAATCTATTTTGAATGTAAATATTTTAACCGGTTTTAATATTTATTTGACAAATACTGACAAAAGCGATTGGTGAATCGTACAAAATCTGCCTTCGCTATTATTTGCATAATACTCGTCTCTTGTAGTATATAAAATATTTGTCTATTAGAAAAAGAAATTAGTTGAATATCAAAGCCATCTCAGTGTTTTCTTATCTATCTTACTTTATAATCACAGCAATTCACTCGTCTTATCTATCTATCTATCTATCTATTTTACCTTATAATCACAGATATTTCAGTCTCTTCTTATCTATCTATCTATCTATCTATGTATGTATCTTACCTTATAATCACAGGTATTTCAGTCTCCTTTTATCTATCTATCTATCTATCTTACCTTATAATCACAGGTATTTCAGTCTCTTATCTATCTATCGATCTATCCATCTATCGATATATTTCAGTCTTCTTATTAGAAGATGTATTTCAGTCTCTTCTTTATCTATCTATCTATCTAACTTTATAATCACAGGTATTTCAGTCTCCTCTTATCTATCTATCTATCTATCTTACTTTATAATCACAGGTATTTCAGTCTCCTCTTATCTATCTATCCATCTATCTATCTTACCTTATAATCACAGGTATTTCAGTCTCTTCTTATCTATCTATCCATCTATCTATCGATATATTTCAGTCTCTTCTTATTAGAAGACGTATTTCAGTCTCTTCTTATCTATCTATCTATCTTACCATATAATCACAGGTATTTCAGTATCCTCTTATCTATCTATCTATCTATCTTACCTTATAATCACAGGTATTTCAGTCGCTTCTTATCTATCTATCGATCTATCTATCGATATATTTCAGTCTCTTCTTATTAGAAGACGTATTTCAGTCTCTTCTTATCTATCTATCTATCTATCTATCTATCTATCTATCTATCTATCTTACCTTATAACCACAGCTATTCCAGTCTCTTCTCATCTACCTATCTATCTTAGTGTCCGTTTTTTTATTTTATACCCTTACATGTTTCCTTCCGGTATCAGCGGTAGTTACTGTTCCAGTCCAGATAGATGGTTGCTTTGAGCAGTACAAACTTCCTATCCCGTAAAAAGCTTTGTGTGATTTTAATAACCCGAAATACTTTCAATGTGTAGATATCTACTAATCTATCTCGGTACACGTGAGATTAGCAATTTTGGTCTCGCAAAATATTTTTCACTTATTCGATCATTGCGGATTGCTTAGTAATTGCCACTTTTTCGTGACAATGTAAAATTCCGTAGGTAACAATTTCTTCGTGAAGTACAAGATGAAAACTCTTATTAATCAATGAAGTTCATTCATGTAGTTCAATGCTGAATGTTTCCCGATATGAAAATGGCTAATTTCAACATTACCATTAACATTGTTTGAAAGGTGTTTTCGTGAAAAAAATGAGTTTGCTGAATGCATTTTAACTAGTTTTAAACCGTGAATATTTCACCGTTTTCCCATTTTAAATTTCTAATGAATTTTAATTTTTTAAGTTAAGGATTGAGTAAGCTCATGGCAAGTTCTACAACAAAATATCCGTAGAAATTCCCTTATGGCATCCTTAAATATTTGAGCTTAACACATTTAACAAAATATTGAATTAACAAACATAAACATGAATGCTGGTCGCTTTTTAAAAAAGTGCAGAGGTACAAATAAAAAGATCTGAAGTTGACAACTTTTTCCATTTCACTGAAACAGAAGTTTAAAATTTCTGTCTTCCCTTCATTTTCTTACTGAAGTGATTTTCCAAGCGTAGCTCATATGTAGCACAAGGCCGAAAGTATGGAGCACCCAGTGAAGATCGAACTCACTACTCAGTCGTAATAGTTCGAGCGAGACACGCTTGCTAACCATTACACCACCCCGAGGTGCCCTCATATGCTTACTGAAATCGAGTAATGACATTAATATGTCTTTTATCTTTTCACGCTGTCAAGACGTAATAGTCTATTCTTTTATTAGGTATTAGCAAGAGACGTTAAACAATTCTATCTTTCTTTCTTTTTCATTGAAATCAAGTAGCGTCTTTGATATGATCTAAAATTTACAACTTTTTCCATTCCACTGAACCAGACGTTAAATCGTCCATTGTTTTTTTTCATTTTTTCACTGAAACTTAGTAACGTCTCAGATATGTTTTTTTTGTTTTTCCATGCAATCAAAACGTAATAGTTCATTGTATATGAGGTATTTTCAGGACGCAAGGGTCGCGCGAACGAAGGAAATAACGAAGAGAAGGGACAAGAAAAATTATTATATAATTAATATTATTAATATTTTTAAAATCATTTCAACCCTAGCAAGGCAATAACGCCACTAAGAAGCATATAAGAGAATAATAATAATAATAATAATAATAATAATAATAATAATAATAATAATAATAAACACTATTAAGGATAGGGAATAATAAAAGAACAAGAATTAAGAATTTACATTTTTGAAGATCAAAGTTGACTCGGAAGAAAGAAGCCGGAAGAGAGTTCCACAGGCCAGAAGTGTGAGAGAAGAGACAGCATAGAATTTGTGATTACATCTAACCATTTCAACTAAATGATGAAACCTTGCCGCCAATCGAGTAATGCACTTATATAATCATTAAGAAATTATTCAGATGTTTTCTATATGGCCAGTTCAATAATCTACGTCCGTAGATTAAATAAAGGGTTCAATGTGAAATTCACAGAAGGTTATCCGGATCAACAAACCCCTGATGAAGGCCAAAGAGCACGACAACCGAAACGATGGGATAATAACGACAAAGATAAGAACAATAGTGCGAGGTTGCCACGTTGTATCAGAAATCGATTAATCTTCTTTGAACAAACAAATAAACGAATTCTCAGATAATCTTCAGTGCTTATTACATTGTTTAAATTCTGTAAAGTTCAACCTATATTTTCGTTTTTCGAAGATAACGTTCCACTGAAATCTGCTATAGTCAAAACGTCTGGCGCCCATGAAACATCAGACATGTGAATATTTTTATGTCGTTCAACTAAAACGAGACATTGAACACGAGAGTTAGTATTTATAGCATTTATTTTAAAGTAAGTACATTTTGTACTGAATCGATCGCTTAGCGGGAATTGAATGAAAGAAAGGAAGACACAGAAAATAAAAATAGAAAGAGGCAAACGAATGGAAGAAACGCCAATATATTCAGAGACGAAGGAAAAGAGAAAGAAAGAAAGGAATAAGAAGAGGAATATAAAGGCAAAGTGATATGAGAATGAAAAAAACGGCAGTATATAGTGAAAAGAAAGAAAAGCACAAAAAAGAAAGAAAAAAAAAAAAAACCAGAAAGGGACACAATAACGAAAGAAATGGCAATATATCCAGAAAAGAAAAAAATGAAATAAAAAGAGAAAGAAAAAAACAAAGAAAGAATGAACAAGAGAAAGGAAAAGGGAAAGATAAGATCGAAAGAAACGGCAATATATTCAGAAAAGAAGGAATTAAAAATAGAAGAAGAAGAAGAAGAAGAAGAGAGAGAGAGAGAGAGAGAGAGAAATGAAAGGAAACGACAATATATTCAGGAAGAAAAAATAGAAAAGAAGAGAGAAAATGAATGAAAGAAACTATGATATAAACGACAGAAAAGAAGGAAAAAAATATTAATGAAAAAGATTAAGAGACAGAATAATGAAAGAAACGGCAATGTAGTCAGAAAAGAAGTACAGGAAAAACGAAAGAAAGAAATAGACGAAACGAAAGGAAAAGAAGAGGAAGAAAGAAAAATAAAAGTAAACAGAAAGCAGAAACCAACAGAAAGGAAGAAACTTTAGTATCAAGAAAGAAAAGAAAGAAAGACAGAAAGAAAGAAAGAAATAAACAAAGAGAAAGAGAATGAAAAAAATAAACAAAATGAAACGGAAGTAATACACAGGAAGTAATACACATAGAAATAAGGAAAAGAATAAAAGAAAAAAGGAGGAAAGAAAAAAGAAGGCAAGAAGAAAAATGAAAGAAAAAGAAAAAAAAGAAAGAAAGAAAAAGGAAAGAAAGAAAGACGGAAATAGATGAAACGAAAGGAAAAGAAGAGGAAGAAAGAAAAATAAAAGTAAACAGAAAGAAGAAACCAACAGAAAGGAAGAAACTTTAGTATAAAGAAAGAAAGAAAGAAAGAAAGAAAGAAAGAAACAAATAAACAAAGAGAAAGAAAATGAAAAAAAGAAACAAAATGAAACGGAAGTAATACACAGGAAGTAATACACATAAAAATAAGGAAAAGAATAAAAGAAAAAAGGAGGAAAGAAAAAAGAAAGCAAGAAGAAAAAGGAAAGAAAAAGAAAAAGAAAGAAAGTAAAAGGAAAGAAAGAATGAAAGAAATAGGCGAAACGAAAATAACAGGAAGAAAGAAAATATATTAAAGAGAAAGAAAAAACATCAACAAAAAGAAAGAGAAATTTGTATCAAGGAAGAAAAAAAAAGAAAGAAAGAAGGCAGGAAGAAACGAAACGGAAATAATACACAAGAAGAAAGAAAAATATAAGGAAAAAAAAAGAAAGAAAGATGGAATATCCTCTTATAGACATCCTAGATACTCTTACCCTACTAATCCGTTCTTAGTATTCGTTTTTGTATTCAAGCGAGTAATAAACAAACAGTATTCGATTTTGGTCATGAACATGTTTCACATCAAGCGAAATGCTTCACTAAAGCTTCGAAAGAGACTGGATTTGCAACCAATTGGAGAAGTCTGTTTTTTTTTCATTGATTGCTTTTTTTCATGATGCCCTTGTCTTTTCATTATTGCCGCCTGTATGCCTTCTTTTCTATTGTACATATGTTTTTTTTTATCTCAAGTTTGACTACGTTGCAAGCTTTTTTTTTTACTTACTTTGACACTAAATAAATACACAAAAACAATAACAGATATCTGTTTAGTGCACAAGTCCCATAATTTAATATTTGCAATTTTTGTTCATTGTAATTATGTCGGCTTAAAAATAAATTTTGTCTTCATCTTGTACTCCCGTGTCTGCAATAATCTTCCGCCCCGGTTTATTTATTCTTAATCGCCATAGTTTTATTCCAACACTTCCCGTTTATTTGTTTTTTTTTTTTTCAGGGAAACATTCCAGAAAAAAAAATTAAATTCTAAGAAAATTATTATTTAGTATCTCGAAACTGATGTAGTACAGATTCTAAAACTTAATTCAAATTATCATTAATTCAATGGCAAAAAATATTATATCTTTGGAAAGCTAAAACTAAAGAGACCTCTGGTCAAGCTTATATAATTTTGAAGAAATATCTTTGAATTCCACAATTCACGTCATGAAACTTAAAAACCCCACTTTAACTCTGATTCGGTCTATAAGTTCAATTCCGGCCAAATGATCGATTTGGGCCATCAGGCCGAAATATCAATTCAGGCCGAAAATTGAGTTCTTCAAATCACTAACTCTACCGAACTTCAAAACCTTACGTCAAGAAACCTCTAACTTTAACACCAGATTCCTTGGCATTTTGAAGAAATAAAATTGATTTCTTCGATTCAAATAGTTTGGGAGATATTTTAAAATAAATTTAAAACAAATGTTTTTAATTACACAAAGTTTTTGCGTCGCTTTAAACTCAATACAAATTAAAAACTTTTAAAATCACTAATTTTTTTCATTTATTTTAAAATTTGAATTTTTAACTGTTCCTTCCACATCCGGACAGAAATCCAAATGCTGTATGTTCAAGCACCACATGATAGGAATATTTTCAATCCTGAAATCATTCCAAGAAGATATAATACGTCAATGTAGAGCAAGTGTGGCTTGGGTTAGAATGGTTGCAGACACACGGACGACCAAACAGAATTTGCCGTTTATTCATTTGGAAGTATATAATCTCAATTGATTTTAACAACAATCTAACATCGTTCGATAAACTTTTTTTTATGCCATTCTCGTAGAAACATCGTGTTTTTTGTTTTTTTACTAGAAGACGGTTGTAAGTTAGTTTTCAAATTTTTGTCATTTAACTTGCCCGGTAGAGACCGGAACAAACGAAAATACGAAGGAACCAAGTCAGGAGAATACGGTGGGTTT